GGGCAGTGGAGGAATTCATTGGGGCAGTCAGTTAGCACGGCACTGGACTCCCATTTAATCAAGGGCTAGTGCACCAAGCTGGTGGGTGCTGCGGTGGCAGGGACAGAGCCCTGGGAGCTCACCCTCAGGGCTCATAGCAGGTGCTTGCATGGAGCCCTGATCAATACCCCAGTGGGGGCTTTGCGGGCACCTTAGCTGGGATCCAAGCAGCGCAGTTAGACACTGGCTGCCTTCGACACAGCAGCCTCCTAGGAAGGGCAGAGGACAGGCAAGGTGAGGCGGGAGTCATTGGGTGGCTCTTGCCTGGAGCTACAGGAGTGGGGTGAGTGGATGCGGCCCCACCTTGGCTCAGCAGCAAGGAGACTGGGCACAGAGGAAAAATTTCCCTGGGCCCCCATCACCGCTGAAGAGTCCAAGGCAGCAGGGTGCCCCCGTAGGTTTGCTTAGTGGGGAGTCAGCTTCCTGGGACAGGTTGGAACAGAGGTGGCCATGCCACCCGCCCATCCCACGCTGGCTCGGAACCCACAAAGGTGTACTCACCACGAAGGTGTACTCACCACGAAGGTGTACTCACCACAAAGGTGTACTGCTGATGGGACTTGGTCATGAACTCGGGCTTACACTCGCCGACGCACAGGCGCACAGGCCCCGAGGTGGTCTCCACAAGGGCATGGCCCATCTCACAGACGATCCTGCAGAGACGGCAGACCCTCCGGTGAGAAGCATGGCGGGAACAGACACCCCTGCCTCACCTGCTCACCCTCACCATCGTCTTGAACACTCACTGGATGAGACTCAGCTTGGCCACCCCTGAGAGTGCGGAGACCGTGGGCTAGGAGCTTTCCCACTCTGAGCTCCAGTCTCTCATCTGTATATGGAGAGAGCTGGGTGAGGTCGGCCCTAAAGCCCTGTGTGGAGTTCCTGGTCCCTCGGGCTAGTGTGTTCCATTAACTGAAAAAGGGCTGGAGGGCTATGTTCACCTCGGCAAAGGCTTCACCAGAGCTGCGGACCACAGTCCCAAACCAAACTCCTTGCCCTGGAGTCCATGCCAACACTTAGCAACCCTAGGACAGAGGAGATCTGTCCCTGTGGTCTGAGACACTGTCACTCATAACCATGGGAGTAGAAAGCCCCCATCTTTTTCTTGAGGAGTGGCTGGTGGTTTCAAACTTTTGACCTTGAGGTTCACAGTCCAACTTATAACCACTCTGCCACCAGGGCTTTTGAGAAGTGCACTGGCTGACCCCAGAATGAGTGTCTGGAATCTTTTTATGTTGTGTTTCAGCAGGGATAGGCAATTTTAATACAGATACCCTGTAGTTAGTGATAACAACATAACCATAATGTACAAGCACAGCTTATACACACGAGGGCTGAAACTCTAAGCGAGTTTACTTGGGAATGTTCAAACCAGCTCCCAGCAGAGCTGTCCTTATTCCCCACGTTCCGCGACACCTTGCGTCACGTGGTAAGGCCTGCCTGCTCCCCACTCCTGCTGTTGACTGGGCTGTCTGGCGTATTTACAGTCACTGCTCTTCTCCACATTGCCCCAGTCAGAGCTGAGATGTATGCTCATTAGTATCTATGATCCTCTATCGATAACCTTTGTGGGAAAGGGAATGAAGGTAGAAAATGCCAACACTGGGCTCCACTCAGTCACAAATCGTGCCGTCCACGAGGCAGTGTAGCGTAGACAAACTTGACAGACCATCGCTGCCAGCACCCATATCGTCTAAGAGATACTACATGTGAGCAATGTGTGACCACATCCATCACATAGCATCCGAGGGTTAAAGCGGATCAGAA